ACGCTAACCTGAGTTTCTGGGTAAATATCTACCTGTGCTGTGTGAAAAAATAAGTATTATTTGCACAAACTAATGTGAAAAATCGACGAAGTGGTGTGGAATAGCGAGGAAATATAACGTCCGGTTAACAGAGAAACGTTCAGCTCAGTAAAAGCAACGATACTTTTTCTGACTCTGCATCATTCTAGGTGTTATAACCGTATATAATTGCCTTATTTCTCGTACGGTTCATCTACAAGAAAAGACGAATGAATATGAGGCATGTGGTAGAATTTCTCCTGACAGTTGCGTGAGGAAACAATCTATCACTTTCTTCCTTCTAATATATTACACATTTTCTTGGCGAGTTAACCGGGGTTCACATTAGACACTGTGGGGGATCCTAAATACAAATCTAATTCTAATTCAAAGAAACACACACACACACATACACACACTCTCCCTCTCTCACACACACAAGCACGCATACACACACACACACGCGCACACACACACACACACACACACACACACACACACACAAGCAAACACACACACACACACACACACACAAGCAAACACACACACACACACACACACATACACAAACTCGCTCTCACTCACTCTCTCTCTCTCTCTCTCTTAAATAAAAAAGAACTCTATTAAACGATGCAATGACAACCGTAAACGATTCCACATTAGAAAACAATAACAACATTAATAAAACAGGAGATAAAAGTCAAAAAAAGCAGAAAGACCTTAGTCCTTTAACGTTTCACCAATACCCTGCTTAAAAGATCCACTGAAGGTCGGCGGCGGGCATGAAGTGATCAGGGAACGATTGCTTCCTGCCTGAGTTAAAACTGTCCTGTAGAAAGCGTGTCAAGGTAGAACGTGCGGGAATTCACACACTGAAATTCCTAGGGGCGGGGGGGGGGGGGGGCTATTACCATGAGCTTGCAATTTCTAACTTTTTTAATGTCTGTTGTATTTGAGATTGGGGAATGTTGTATGTTGGGAGGATTGGTTCAAAAAGTGAGGAAATGAAATTTGTTTTCTTTATTTTTTTATATGTTTAGTAGGAAAGAAAACTACATCATGTGTTTTTATTTTATTTTTTTTATTCATATCATTTTCCTTTCTTTTGCGAAGATACAGTTATGTTACATTTAACGTGCGGGAATTCACACACTGAAATTCCAGGGGGGGGGGGGGGGCTATTGCCATGAGCTTGCAATTTCTAACTTTTTTTTATGTCTATTGTATTTGAGATTGGGGAATGTTGTATGTTGGGAGGATTGGTTCAAACCGTGACCAAATCAATTTTGTTTTCCTTTTTTTTTTTTTTTTTTTTTTTTTTTTTTTTTTTTTTTTTTTTTTTTTACTATAGTAGGAAAAAGAACTCCAGCACGTGTTTTTATGTGGATGCGTAGACTGCAACATGCTTACAGAAATAACAAAGATATACATAGAGTAGTGATGCTAAGGCAGTTCGAGAAATTTACGAGACAAGTAAAATATAGTTGGTCCTTTTTCTGTCAACAAGCGACACCAAACAAATTTTAGCCCGGCACTCTTTGACACAAAGAAAAAAGAAAAAAAATCAATGCAGTTTTCAAGGTATTTCTGTATTCGGTTGACGTACAAAAGTGGAACAAAGTAAAAAGAAAAAACAACAACAATGTAACGTTAAACTGTCCCTTATATATAATGTTTTTATTCTGTTCTCTGGTGTTGATATTATTATGATTATCTTTATCCTTATCATTCTTATTATTATTGTCATTATTATTAATATAATTATCATTATTATTATTATTATTGTTATAATTATCATCATCATTATTATTATTGTAATTATCATCATTATTATTATTATTATCATTATTATAATTAATATCATTATTATTATTATTGTTATTATTATTGTTATTATCATTATTATTATTATTATCATCATCATTATTATCATTATTATTAATGTTATTGTTATTATGTTTGTTATCATTATTATTATTATTGTTTTCATTATCATTATTATCATCATTATTATTATTATTATCGTCATCATTATTACTATTATTGTCATTATTATTATTATTAGTGGTGGTATTGATACCATCATTATCATTATTATTATCAATATTATTATTAATATTATTATTATAATTATTATAATTTTTATTATTACTATTATCATAATCCTGATCCTGATCATCATCATCACCGACATCATCATAATCGCTATTATAGTCGATTACTGTCATCATCATTATCACAAAGAGAAATAGTATCAAAATATCTGAAGTCAAATACGCAATATATCGTAAAAATATTATTCTCATTAACCTTGCGATAGGTCAAGATGCGCAAGTTCTTATACAACAAATTATTTATTTCTTATAGAACCTGCCATTTACTCCGCCAAAAAGAGAATTGGAATGTTTTAAGATACATGAGTATTATTTTTTCTTATTATTGTTAATGGTTCAAAAGGAAAACAAATGTGCTAAACTCTATGGTTATGTAGTAATATATTTATTTTTATTTTGGCAGAGAGGGTAACGAGACTAAAGTGATATGTGTTGGTGAATATTGTTTTGGTCTAAGATGGCATTCGGTATTTAAATATCTCTGTATTATTAGTCTTTGGGAAGAGAAAGAAAAATATTTGATGATGATATGTTGCGTTTTATGGGTTTTGGTTTTATTTTTCAGCATAGGAATATCTTTCTTTTGCATTGCAGAGTTGATACCGTTTTATCCATACATACATATATTAAATGAGTAATGTATGTATGCATGGATATATATATATATATATATATATATATATATATATATATATATATATATATATAATATATATATATAATATATATATACACACACACACACACACACACACACACATATATATATATATTCATAATCTCTATCTAGAGGTCTTATAGCCTGATATATTTTGTTATGTTTAAAATATACAGCTTGAACACAAAACCACTTTACTCTTTTATAACATTTGTGGCAAGAGGTGTAACTCCTGAAAACTTGCCTGAATAAGGGCCCTTGTCTTATGTATCTTATATTTCAACACAACAAATACCATCCACAGCAAATCTTGTTACTAGCTATGCACTTGAAATATATCTGGATTGAAGGAGAACAGTTATGAGCCCATTGTGAAAGTGAATTAAGCAAAACACTTTCTGATATAATGTGCGTCTGCTCAAGTTCTTATGAGAATCATTCTAAAACATTATTACAGTTAATAAAACATGGATTTCATCTGATAAAAAGGCAGAGATTTATGACACATTTCTTCTATGGAAGACAGGATAAGATAAGGCACGATTCATAAGATCAAATGCTTTTGCAGATTCCCCTTTGTTAATTATCTTGACCAAAAAGGATAAAAACAAGTCAGTTCTTTGTAATACACAGTGTATTGGAAACAGATTCTGAGAGCGTATCAAGCACAAGAAAAGCATAAAAATACATATATGAGTATCTTTTGTAAAAGTTCAAAATGTGTGTATAAGAAGTACTACACACAAAAAAATTTATAGCTATCAATTAGACTGGTTACTAAAATACAATGGGTAAACATAACCAAAATTCCAAATAAAAGTAATAAGGAACTAAAATATATATAGATAACAAAACTGTATCAGAATATAACTAAACCATGTTAAACTTTCTCATTCTTTCTAAAATATCTTCTATAAGACTAGTGTGATTTTGCTCCCAGCAAAACCTGAACCCCACATCTTTGTATAAGGTGCAGTTAACCCACAGATGCCAGGTAAATGTACTATTCCACTATATTTCAATTTTGTGAATTTTGTTTTTACGTAAATGGTTCCACAAATATTCATTCACTATGGAGCTAATATGTACCTTCCCCTGACTTCTTCTTTCCTTAGCTTTGGGGAAAATATTTTTTGTTCTGTTATATATATATATATATATATATATATATATATATATATATATATATATATATATATATATATATATATATATATATATATATATATATATATATATATATATATATATATATATATATATATATATATATATATATATATATATATATATATATATATATATATATATATATATATATATATATATATATATATATATATATATATATATATATATATATATATATATATATATATATATATATATATATATATATATATATATATATATATATATATATATATATATATATATATATATATATATATATATATATATATATATATATATATATATATATATATATATATATATATATATATATATATATATATATATATATATATATATATATATATATATATATATATATATATATATATATATATATATATATATATATATATATATATATATATATATATATATATATATATATATATATATATATATATATATATATATATATATATATATATATATATATATATATATATATATATATATATATATATATATATATATATTCATAATCTCTATCTAGAGGTCTTATAGCCTGATATATTTTGTTATGTTTAAAATATACAGCTTGAACACAAAACCACTTTACTCTTTTATAACATTTGTGGCAAGAGGTGTAACTCCTGAAAACTTGCCTGAATAAGGGCCCTTGTCTTATGTATCTTATATTTCAACACAACAAATACCATCCACAGCAAATCTTGTTACTAGCTATGCACTTGAAATATATCTGTATTGAAGGAAAACAGTTATGAGCCCATTGTGAAAGTGAATTAAGCAAAACACTTTCTGATATAATGTGCGTCTGCTCAAGTTCTTATGAGAATCATTCTAAAACATTATTACAGTTAATAAAACATGGATTTCATCTGATAAAAAGGCAGAGATTTATGACACATTTCTTCTATGGAAGACAGGATAAGATAAGGCACGATTCATATGTTCAAATGCTTTTGCAGATTCCCCTTTGTTAATTATCTTGACCAAAGAGGATAAAAACAAGTCAGTTCATTGTAATACACAGTGTATTGGAAACAGATTCTGAGAGCGTATCAAGCACAAGAAAAGCATAAAAATACATATATGAGTTTCTTTTGTAAAAGTTCAAAATGTGTGTATAAGTACTACACACACAAAATTTATAGCTATCAATTAGACTGGTTACTAAAATACAATGGGTAAACATAACCAAAATTCCAAATAAAAGTAATAAGGAACTAAAATATATATAGATAACAAAACTGTATCAGAATATAACTAAACCATGTTAAACTTTCTCATTCTTTCTAAAATATCTTCTATAAGACTAGTGTGATTTTGCTCCCAGCAAAACCTGAACCCCACATCTTTGTATAAGGTGCAGTTAACCCACAGATGCCAGGTAAATGTACTATTCCACTATATTTCAATTCTGTGAATTTAGTTTTTACGTAAATGGTTCCACAAATATTCATTCACTATGGAGCTAATATGTACCTTCCCCTGACTTCTTCTTTCCTTAGCTTTGGGGAAAATATTTTTTCTGATTCTGTTAATATTGACATTGTTATTATCAACATCAACATTATGATTATTTTCATATAATTAACACCAGTCCTACTAATAATGGTAAAGAATAAAAATTAACCTTTCTGAAAATAAAATGTTAAATAGGTGAGATACATAGTAAGGACTGAGCACCTGTGGAACCAACTATGTGTAAAAACAATTAATAAACTTAAATCATAGTGTACAGGGCATGCATTCTTGCCACCCCAGCATCTGTGGGTTAAGACCTATCATTACATCGGCCCGCATTGAATTGAACCATAAACCTTAAAATAGTATTTAAAAAAGAGGACGGTAGGGTTAGCATGTGTATTTCTTTACACGAAATGTATACTAATATTCATATGGGTAAAAAAGAGATAGATGTAATTTTTGCAAGTGAATAAATATACTCATTTTCCTGAAATAACATTTAACAATTATAACATGTGAACTCCATTAATACATTTGTTGGCCTATACTTGGCATGAAACTTTGCAAGATATAACTTTTTGCAAATAACTAGTGCAGGCAATCTTGCAAAAAAAAAAGAAAAAGAAAAGAAAAGAAAATATTGAAGAAAAGGAATTTCATATACAGATCAGCAATAAATAATAGGACTACATTCACAGTTGCAAAATTAGAAGCAAAAACTAATCTGTACGTTATCTGTACTAGGTAATATAATTCATGAATCAACATGAACAAAAATAAGTGAGCAATACTATTATTGGATATATTTCTATACGTAACTTGCAAATGTCTATTCACAGACCCAACTTCCAAGTGAAACTGTAAATATCCTTGTAAAACAGAAATTACAAGTTCAAACATATAGACTTTATTATATGAAATAAACCTTTAACATTAAAGCTACACAGTTGCATTAATACTGATATTTTCCTCATAAACGTCACCTTGCGTTTGGTACCACTTAGATATGTATTTATAAATCACAGAACTGAAGACCATAATGATCATCCTCATCACAGCTACCGTATTTCTATTGCTTCGACTTGTAAGAAATAAAAAAGAAAATAAAAAAATAATAAAAAGGAAAGAAAGAAAACATAAAAAAAATTATGTTCCCTGTTGCTGTATCACACCATCAACGGTAAAGTTTACAGGGACTTCGGCGGCAAACCTAACATTAACAACGTGAGGCGAACGGCAGAATGGACACTTGAGGGGACCGTGGTTTAGTGTTTCGGTGATGCAACTTGTACAGAGGGAGTGGCCGCAGCTCAGGATTCTCGGCCGGCGCTCATTCTTGTCATAGTCCTCTAGGCAGACTTCACATTCAAATTTCAACTGTTTGGGTGAAGAAGAAGAAGAAAAGGAAGAGGAAGAGGAAGAGGAAGAAGAGGAAGAAGAGGAAGAGGGAGAAGAGGAAGAGGGAGAAGAAGGAGAGGAAGAAGAAGGAGAAGAAGAAGAAGAAGAAGAAGAAGAAGAGGAAGAAGAAGAAGAGGAAGAAGAAGAAGAAGAAGAAAAACATTAACCAAGGTCTTCCATTTACCCGAGGATGGATATACTTGACTGTAGGAAACTAGCCGAGGCAAAACTTGAAAACTCAAGCAGTACAAAAGGAAGAAAATTAGTTATCTCACCTCGACATACACTGACGGCTTCACTATCAGTCTCTCGTTTCCATTATTTCCTCCAGCTGATAACTGTAACAAAAAGCCATTCAAACTTACATGTTTTTAGGACTTAAATAAACTCAAGATACTTATATATACACATTATATATGTGTGTGTGTGTGTGTGTGTGTGTGTGTGTGTGTGTGTGTGTGTGTGTGTGTGTGTGTGTGTGTGTGTACATATACACAGACATATACTATATATCAGCATGTTCTGCTCATTTATGGTAACATGCTTGCTATTTTTGAAGCAGAAAGAAAGAAACAGAGCTAGAAAGAACAAACAATCAAAGAAAAAAATATAATTCTTCCCTAAATGTTCTAAAACTTTTACATAATGATGTCCTATATTCTAAAGAAACGTCCAGATTCTCAATTGGTTCTGTAACAGCTAATCAAAATGGACAAAACTTCTGGATCTTACAATACACTTTGAAACAAGACAACTACCCTGTATATATAATGGCCTTCAAAACTAACCTGTGGTAGTTTGACATTCTGCAAGGTGCTTTCGACATCAGCATGATTGTTGATAATTGCTAAATCTAGAGCCGTCTCATCATAGTTGTTGCATGCATTTACATCTAGACGACACTGGAAAAAAAAAATACATATTATTGTTTGAGACTTTTTTGATGGAATGAATAAGATCAAATATCATTAATAATTTTACTTATCATAATTATTTCTTATAAAATATTGAGAAACACTGTCCCCAAAATTACAGATACCTATGTAATTTTAGGAAATATTAGCAGTGAAAATATCTTATGTGACTGAAAGAGATAAAAACAGAAATTCTCTAGGTATGACAATTTTGCAAAGCAATGAATATAGCATAACATTATAAATATCCCCAATTAATTATCCACAAATCTGGCTAACTAAAATAATATCATTACATTCATCAGGTACTACATACTGAAAGGAAAATATAGCCACCTGGTGAGGTCTTGATATCAATTCCTTCACTACTTCTGCATGGCCCATCATTGCAGCATACATAAGAGGCGTATCACCTGCCCAGTCGCGCGGGTTGCGATGGAGGTGAGGTTGTCGTTGAAGCAACCGCACGACTGACAGCTGGCCACCAACACAGGCACTCGATAACAGAGTGTAACCATCTGAATCAGCTGCATTAATATCATGACCGTCTTCTAAGTACTTCCTCACTCTTCTCAGATCTCCATTCTTGGCTGCTAAGTACATATCCTGCACGGCAAAATATGACAGAGAGCATAAGAATAAGAGAGCTATAGCTTATGGGAGAATGGATGTGGACTATGGATTAATACCTCTGTGTTTTTTTAGAAGGCACAATGTAATACTCACTTGTGGATATATTTCTGACCAACTCTAATTTCTAACAAAACTTACTATCTCTTATAAAAATAGTTAATAATAGTTGATAAAGCAGTATAAGGTCATTGTTTAATTTTGCATCTTTATGAACTGTTTTCATAACCTGGTTGCCAGGCACAAAGGTGAGGATGAGTTATCAGGTGTGGGGCAAGTTGGATACTATTTGAACACCCAAATGTTTTTGGGTAATTTATTTCCAGCCCAGACACACACACACACACACACACACATACACACACACACACACACACACACACACACACACACACACACACACACACACACACAAAAGAAGAAGGAAAAAAAAAAATGCAATGCTTTCCTTCCTTATAAACATAAAAAAATATGTTGTTTGGTCTGTCATAGGATTAACATGAAGCTTTTATTTTTATTATTATTAGCATAATAATTATTATTATTACTATCATTCTTCTTATCATCATCATCTTTATCATTATCATCATTATTGTTATTATAATAATTATTATCAATAACAATTTTACCAACTATTGTTGTGCTGATCCTAGAACTTAATGAAATAAACAATAATGCCCTTAATACTATAATGAAAATTACTGAAATATCAAATTACAGTCAAACATCTACATCAGCTGGTAATGCACAACACTGCCTCTTATTCCTAATCAACTACACTACTCATTAACTGAATAACAAAACTAAATTTCCCTAAAAAAAATACAACTTACACCAGGCAAAGATGCAAACACCACAGCTGGACAAATACATGGCTTGAGTAGTTGATCATCCTGCCCTCCCTGCTGAAAAGAGTTAATAACAGCAACATTATTATCATCATCACTATTGTTATTATTATTATCATTATTATTATCATCATTAATATCATTATCGTCATTAATATCATTATCATAATCAACATTATCACTATTATTAATTATCATTATTACAATTATCATCAATTATTACATCACCATCATTATTATTTCTTCTATTAGGTAGATGAAAATAGTAATCTAACAATATAAATAACTCAAATAAGCAACTCAAATAAGCAAAATTGGTACATTGACTAATTATCAATCAGTATCCTGCATTGAAAACATGTTACAAAATACAGAGCAAACTGATTCAATAAACTACACATTCTCAAAATATCAACTCAGAAAAAAAAAAGTTTCACTAAAAAAAAACTCTCTCACCTTATAAGCCATTATAAAATTGATGGAAGCTCAAAATAAATCACAATATTGGAGAACACCTACAAAACAACACCAGGAGAGCTTGACTGTCAGGAACTACCCTGGGGATCAGCTGGAAAATGTGTCATTTATATAATAGTGGTTTATCATTCATGAGAGAGAAAAATATATACATAAAATAAGAAATTATAAAGGGTTGGAACACACTGTCTCACTTTTATTAAAGCTATTTTCTGTATGGTGCTTCTTTCTATTATAAATATTTTAATTCAAGTTAACTTTTAAATAATGTACAGTGCTATCTTACATAGTAATGGTATTATTTGACTATTCACCTTTTTTTCTACTTGCAGCTTAGATACAGTAATCAGTTGATCTTATTAATTACTTGTATCTAATCTACAGTAATAAGTGGCAGTAGTTATAACCTAATACAAGAGAAACTACACTCCATTTCTTTTGATGAAGTGAAGATACACTTGAGAGACTGGCTGAATTCAACATAACTAAGGGAAACTTTTGTATTTCAAGCAATTATTCCTCAAAAGTTATCAAAAAATCCCTATCACTAATTTGTCATCCTGTAATCAATCATCACCAATCTGTTACCTGTATTGTACTCAAATACTGAAAGTTTTATTAGTCATATTAAGATGTCTTGTATCACCTCTCTGCAAATGTTTAATTCTTACCAAATTTTCATTTTGCAAAGATGCCATGAACACATTTGCTCACCTGAAGGGAGGGGATTTTGTAATTATCCAGAATAAGACTATATACTGTGACATTAAGACCAACAATAAATAATGACCAACAAATCTTCATCATGTATATTCTGGCAAGCTATAACTTGGGTTAGTTCCTTAACTGACAAAAAAGTAACCAGGAAATCTAAAAGCTCTTCCATGCCAGAGTAAACAAGGTGAACATTTATCAGTTGTTATCACAGCCACTGTTTCTGTCACTAGAATTACCTCATGAGTATCTATAAGTATCTGATTGTGCCAGTATCATTACTTATGATATTCACCCATGTAGCAATGTCATTATGATGTATTTAGTAGGTGGTAAAGCTTTTTCCTCTCTGTATATGCATGTAGTCCTACTCCAAACATCTCGAGTCAAAAGAGCAAA